ATATCTTTGTTCGTTCCACACTTCAACGCTGGTTGAACGGACCAATTGCATGTTATCTTAGGAATGAATCCCGTGATGCCTCTGATATCACTACAACCAGTGGAAATTACTCGATCATCGTTTTATCCTTAGTCAATTTTATTACTTGTATGGATATAAACGTTAGAATAAATCAGTGTTTTATACGCCAAAAAGGGCTTACATCCGCTTAACAAGCGACAGCGAGCTAATCGAGTGCAAATCGAAAAATTTATACGAGCCTCTTCAACTCCACAACAGGCACCGTGGCAGAGGTCAACTTCAAACTCCAGAGAATAGACGATCCTTGTCTTAACGGCTAATTCCCTTGAGCATAGAATTTACCCTATATTGCTTCAGTGGAATCCGCTATAACGTAGGTAGCAAGTCATTGGCTTGTGAGTAACATGGAACACAGGGTTCTGGCAAAGTAATACCAAAATGAGCTAGGTCTACGGCCATCATGTCGTATGCGAGAGTATCTTTTGGGCTACAGTTCACTGTTATCCATTTGATGGCTTATTATTAAGGTGATAATCAGCACATGCTTGAACCTCAAAGAAGAAACACCTGTTCTGACATGCTCGCATTAAATAAAATTTCCGTCCCAAACCCAATCAAAACGTCACTTGTCATCTTCCAAGCCACCCGCTGAATGCAGCGTTCTTGTGTCTGACAGCCAACTGTACCCTTCGAGTCCAATAAGAAGTTGGTTTCTGACCTCCAGACGGCAGATAAGTCCGTTTTAAACCGTAACATTTAACTGCAGTCCCGAAAAAGCCGTTCTCAAAGAAAGAACTTCTTATCGGTTTATATGTCTGCCTTCATCACTGGGAACTGTTCAAATCGTCGTGCAATGTTGCTCGTATCTGCAAACGAGTAATATTTCCCATTTGATTTTCTAGTTCCTTCTGGCTCCTGGTTTTCACACGGACAGAAACTGTTTGCAGCAGAGGGTGTCAGCAACAAGGCGTTGATCGATTTACAGCTCTACGTCTCCCTTAACGCGTACGTTCATAACAGATCATATGCAGACGATACGATTATCAAATCGATCATCGACTTTTGTGCACAAGCATGCCGGTACCAGGGTACTGATGCACTTTTCGATTCTCGAAGGTGTTCATAATGGACAGTTTCGTTTTTTCCACAAAACCGCAACAACTTCATGTCATTATTGTTGAGGTCGCTAGGGCCGTTCTTTACAATTACCTTTCCACTTTTCAATGTCTGCTCCAACATGCGCATTAGAATGAGGGATTCTGTAGTCGGCAATTTGTGTAGAGAATCACCTACTTCCTCAGGGAAGCGTTGATATTTTCCCTGCGAATTAGGCGGATAAACTTATAAAAATTCAAAGCTTTAGCTTGTTGTAATTTCGGCCAGAGAATTGTCATTTTTCCTTTAAAAGAATTCCATTCAATGATTTTTTCCGCCAGACTGAGTTCTACCAGAACACCCATATCGGCGCCAGCGCATTTTGTGCAGTCGACACAAAGTAGAATAGCTTGCATATGCAGAGGTTCAGTATTCCAGATCTCTGCCGCTTCGCTGACTACAGTTCAACTGTGGTCGGCCGGTACAGTGTGGCTTCATTAACTAATTCTGGCTTTTTCCTTCTAAGTGAGATGTTCTAGTTTCTGACTGTGAGCTCCAATTGGTAGTCACATTTCGTGGAACCTATCAGAGATGCTATAATGCGATTGGGCTGTCGCCTCCTCCATTCAGAACAGCTAGATACGGTAAGTTCGATGACAGCAATACCAAAAGAGCAGGCACCCCGTTTAATTGGAGACCTAGACACGATCCACAACCCACCTTTTTCATACGGCTTTGGGACCATCAGTGGCGGAGTTTCATAATAAATATTAGTATCATATTCATAACAGGCAAATCTAGGTTCACATTCATAAATCTAACAATCTGGGTTTCATGGTGTACTGCAAAATCATTCACACCTAAATGCCTCGAGGATTATTTAATCAGATTGTAGTTCCACGGTCTTTCAGCAAACGTTACATGCACTTTGCATCATCTTTGACTAGAACAATACCTACCCCATCAACAAAGACGTTCTATGCTATTTTAGTACATGAAAGCGTATCATGAATACCGTCTTCCTGAAAAATCACTGGCACGGATTGGTTCATGCTTCATCACGCCGTTGCGTGTTATATTTCCAAGGAGTGCACATTTGCTCTTCAACGACAAACCGATGCACAAACGGCAACCGCATTCAGAAAAGGTTATTAAAAAGTGGATGCAAACTCTCCTCAACGACATCAAGAAACAGATGTAATCGAACATTATTTCAGCTAGAAGAATCACCCAGTGCAGAGAGAATTGGAGAAATCACACATCAAAATGCGTGTCTTGAAAAAAGAGGATGAATCCGCATTGCATTTGTGAATTATTTATCACCACATTGGAACACAGTGGAAACCTGCAACAATGAATAAAACAAATTCTTGTTTACAGGTAATGAAATAGAAAATAAGCCATTGTCGAAATTTTACTGGTAAATTATTCCTAACATCAGAAACGGTTGAAAATCAAACGGCATTATATAGTGAAAAATCGAATCAGCTTTTCCAGTAAATAAATGTCGGGCTACGAAAGAAAAAGAAACCAAAATCGCAGTTTACAGAATCACCAATACCTTGTACCCAACTTGTAACGCAGTGAAATTACTGTATGCCATTGCCATTGATTTTTGCATTCTTGCGCAGATCCGAATTCATGTACGCCTTCAAATGAGGACGGTTACCAAATGCTGCGTGATATGCCTTCAAGTGAGGATATTTATCCAGAATAGTCGAAGACAGGACGACGAGACAATCAAGAATTTCGAACAGCGCATAATCAGCAAACGTTACCTAAAACATGAGCTACTTACATCTGCGACAGAAATATTAATTCGCTTTCTTCTTCTACGCTGTCAGAAGCTCGACGGTTATTCAGCTGAGTGTAAGTATATCAGAAAGGCTGGCTTACTGATAACTTACTGCTGTCGATCGTCGTGTAAGACGTTAAGTCGTCAACAAACAATATTGTTCAATTTGGGGCGTGTCATGGGTAATCTCACGGTAAATACGCACTTAAACAAATCACTTGCCCTCTTCATGGCATCATTCTGCTCACGTTCGATCCCCTTCTGTAACTTAGTCCGGTTGAAAATCATCCATGCAACGGTATCGATAAGAGTCCGGAAAGGGGAGGCGGCAAGGGTGGACATTTGGATTTCCTTTTCCAAATAAATACTCTAGTGTGCTCTACGACAATTCTGAACTAATCTCAAAACAGCCATGTTTATATTTTTACCAGTACCTTAAAAAATGTTGCGGACGCTCTTCCGAATGACACTGCTTTAAACGATTACACGGGGCATACTGGAAACCTTCTCGAAGTCTCTTCTTTGCCATGTGCAATCCATTACGGATGCCACACATTCCGTGGCTGCGGTAGAAAAGAAACAAGAGACAAACTACCGTATTGCTTGTCGAACGCGGCCTGTACTCTCTCAACCAAATTCTAATCTCGTAATCTATTTTTATGTTCATTACCTCTTTTGGTTATATGACTCAGACATCTGATTCGATCTTTTCGTAGTTTAAAACCGTATGCCAGTACAGGTCGCACCACTATGGGGATCTTTCTGTCGGTGTCACATAACTGAAATCTGTTACAGCTTAGATTACATCGCTTGCATCCTTTCGTTCCCTTGTTCATCTGCCATCCTCTTGTACTCTCGATCACAAGTACTCTCCATCTTGCCACTTTTCAAAAGCGGAATCTGCATTAGCTTAGGTCACATACAGCATTATCATGGTTTATAATGCAGTGCTAATCTATGTTCTAACGCTGTCAGAGAGAAAGGCCCAATTCCTGATGAAACAACTGTAGCATCGTTGCGAACAACGTATGCAATTCCCTGCCTCCTTCACGGATACACGGCTTTCGTCAAACACAAAATAGAAAATTAAACTGATACAGAACTTTGTCGCCGCAGACGAACTTTTTGCCACCCAGCAGTTTCTCGAAACTTTCAAGATTTGGAGGAATCAGCTCGCTGATGAACTTGGCTTTGTTTTCTTCACTCTAAATTTACAGCCGTTTTACATACATATTCCAAAGACTACCACTGCAATATTTACATAGTCTGTGTAGATTAGCTTTGCGTATTTATTGCGGATGTCGCCAACGCCTTCGTACATCATGTCAGCCATGGTTGCTTCGTGTTCATCTGAACCGTACATACCTGCATAATTGAATTTATTTCGCATCATGAACGTCATACGTCGAAAACAAGTACCTATCTGTCGAGCCAGGTGACGAATGATCGCCCCAGACTGCACGTACTGAACTCCATTATCATAAAGGCACGGCATTTGGCCAAATTGCTATAATCAATATAATCATCGACGATCAACTTACGCTGAAACTTAAATCATTTACTCAGGTGCTCAAAAAAGATCGATCGCAATCGCTAGTCATCCCCGGAAATAAGAGAGAATAAGCACAACACACTGCGATACCATTCATGAAATACAGCATAAAAAGGATTAAATTATGCAAAACGCAATGTAGTTATTCTCTCGGGTGATAGATCAGTACCAATTTTTCGCCGCATCTCATGAGCCCTCCTTAAAGTATGGCTGGTGGTCTTTGATTATTGTAGATAACGTTGTCTAAAACAGTTGGTTCGCATCGATCTGCAAGACCTTACGGTAGTGGTCTATCAGCGATAAATCAACTGTTTTGGGCAGTGTTAAATTATGTTGCATATCAGGATGACAACAAATGCAAGGATAAAATACTTTAATGTTATTCATGAAAATTAATCATTTACGAATATGGATAGATCAGTTAATTACGCTATCACAACAATGAATATCAAATGAACGAAAGAAATTTATTTCTCGCTTCGTTAAAAATATTACAGGCATTTAGTAAAGTGTGTCTATCAATATGCAAACTTTAGTTTTAATTAAATAAGACTTCAGGTAATTGATTTTGGGCCCGTAGTTATGTAGATAAGTGGCTGAGCGATTCATAGTTCAGGGTACTAAAACTGTTTACTGCCAACGCGTTTCACTACATAGATCGTAGCATCATCAAGGCTGGAATGAATACAAACTTTGTGGAAACTATTATCATGCATGATTAAAGAAAGTCTACGGATGCAGTTAACAGCAGATTTCATCCACAGGTTATGCAGGCTTCCGACGGTTTATCCTTGCTCTAACTTGCCGTTTTACCCATTTCTGCAGAGAAATGGGCGCGATTTCACTTGTTTTGACAAGCCACATTCACCTGAAAAAGGTATTCGACTTAACACGTGATATGTCCTAAAGTATTATTGAATGCTTTAACATATCGTGTCTATCTTAGAAAATGCATGACAGAACGATGGGTGCCATCAAAGAACAAAGCGGACCATACGAATAGTTTACAATAAACTGCGGAGTCTGCCAAGAAAACGCACTTTCGTCTTTGTTTCTCAACATTATTCTAAACTTTTTCCTTTCTTCGAGCTGATCAGAATAAACATAAAGATTTCATTCTACAATGGACCCGCAGCTCAAAAAATATCCCAAGATATCCGCTTGATTTGGAGTACGATAATAATACTGCCTGAACAGTAGCAAAGCAATTCGGCTTCCGTACGGAGCTGAGTTCCAAAAGTCCGTCTCGACCTTGACGCTCAAGTTAAAGTTATTACGGTCTTATTCAGCAAACAGATTCTCAAGGGAAACCAAACGGTAGATGAAGTTCACTCCGCACAACTCTACCGCTGCCGGGTAGAAACCCAGATGAGAAATAAGGAGGGTCGGGGCCCGTGGCGAGGTCTCCTGCAAATCCTAGTCACCTGCTACTCATGGTACTATCGGCATCGAACGATATACAGGCGGTCTTCGCCCAGGTTACCAAGGGCTGCATCGACTGTTCGTAAGTTGATGCATGCTACAAAAAGTTGGCGATCAGAACCTGCTTCACGCCTTCTGGAAGCTTTGGGTACAGCAGAACTGTGACGAGTGCTGAAAATCGACAAGAGGACGACGAAGATATCAGTCAACAACGGAGTTGCTACCCGTTCTGAACGAAGTTAACCAACAGAGTGATGCCACCAAAGCAAGTTAGATAAGTTCCACGGGAATGTTACCATGACTGGGAGTTCACAGACGGAAACTGGAATAGAAGGAAAGAGCAGGGACTAGATGATGAGGCCAAAATGTACAGGCTAGACAAACTCGAACTCTCGTCAACGAAG